AGTTTGCGAAAGAGAGGGGAGAAAGGAAGAGTCGCCATAAGAGAAGGAAAGAAAATCAAAGCTCAAGTGGAACAGAGAGTGAGAGGAGGGATCGAAAGCAGGAGTAGGACTAATCGTAGTAGTGAGATTTGAGGGAGAGGGAGGAGTAAAGAAAATTGATCCATTGAAACTAACAAAAATCATCAAAGGACAAGTCGGAGACGTGAAGTATGCGAGAGTTTTGAGTGATGGAAACTTGCTGATACGATGCAGTAATCAAGTGCAGATGGAAAAGGCAAAGAAAATGAATAATGTTGGAAAAGTTAAAGTATCCAGAATAATAAGAGTGGGAGAGAAGAGGGCTGAGGGTGGATGTAAGGGGGTGATTTCTGGAATACCTCTTTCAGTCAGCATGAAGGATTTGGTGGAGAACTTGGGGGAGCATAATAGTCTAATCAAAAGTGCTAAAAGAATGACTAGGGGAGCAGAGAAGAAAGAGACTGAGACCATCTTGATAGAATTTAAAACAAAGGTTATTCCAAGTGAGCTACATTGTGGATTCATGAAATACAGAGTTAGGGAGTTCATTCCAAAGCCAATGAGATGTTTTAATTGCCAGGAATTTGGGCATGTGGCTATGGTGTGTAAAGGTAAGAAAAGATGTGCTAGATGTGGAGGGGAACATGAGTATGGGAAGTGTGGAGAAGGAGTGAAACCCAAGTGCTGTAACTGTGGAGGAAATCACAGTGTGGCCTATTGGGGATGTGAAGTGTTGAGAAGAGAGGTGGAAGTGCAACAGATAAGAGTGAAGGAAAAAGTCTCTTATGCAGAGGCAGTTAAGAGGGCTGGACCAGGAAAACAGAGCAGAGCATATGGGCAAAATGAAGGGAAAATTACAGTGAATACAGAGCAGGAGGATAGAAGGAAGAAGTGGGAAGAAAAGAAGAGAATGGTGACATTTATAGCAGGAGTGATAAATGCCACAGCGGAGATCAAATCCAAAACTGACAGGATTCAAATAATTGTGAAAGCAGCTGTGCATCATCTTGAAATAAAGGGTTTGAAATGGGAGGAAGTGAGAGACAGTCTCAGTGAAAAAGCAAGTAGTGAGGCATCATGTGTGGGTTAATACTAATCATCATTTTAATACTCCAATGGAACGCAAGGAGTCTGATAGCTAATGGACAGGACTTTAAGCAATTTATAGGCAGTAGGAGGGAGAAACCAGATGTATTATGTATTCAGGAGTCATGGCTGAAACCCAATTTAGATTTCGTCATGCATGGATATGTGGCAGTTAGGAGGGATAGGAAAGATGGGGTAGGAGGAGGCTGTGTAACATTTATAAAACAAAGTATTCCTTATAGAGTGTTGGGTATTGGGAAAGAACTGGAGTATATAGTAGTGGAAGTATGGGCGGGAAGAAAGGAAATAGTGGTGGTAAATTATTATAATCCATGTAAGAAACTAGAACTAAATAAGCTAGAAGAAATAGAAGGGCAAAATAGAGCAAGCATTGTGTGGTGTGGGGACTTCAATGCACATAACACATTATGGGGGAGTGAAAAAACTGATGTTAATGGCCAGGTGATGGAGGAAATGTTAGATGAGAGGAGTCTAATCTGCTTAAATGATGGTAGCAAAACAAGAATAGATGTAAACACAGGAAAGGAATCGAGTCTGGACCTTACAATGGTATCGAATAATATTGCTCCCAGGTGTGATTGGAAAGTGTATAATGAGGGAACCATTGGTAGTGATCATTATCCGGTTTTATGTAAGGTAAACATTAATGCAGAAATGAATGAAGGGGCCAGGGGTGGAAAATGGGTGTTTGGGAAAGCTGAGTGGGAGAAGTTTAAAGAAGTAAGTGATCAGTATCTGAGCCAGATTAATGCTGATATGAACATAGAAACTTTGGAAAAGGAAATAGCTAGTGGTATTAGAGTAGCTGCAATGAGATCTATTCCTAAGAGTAAAGGTGAAGTAAAGAAGAGGGCTGTTCCATGGTGGGATGAGAAATGTAAAGAAGCTGTTAAAAATAGAAACAAGGCATTTAAGATACTGAAAAGAACTCATAACTTTCAACATATGATAGAATATAAAAAAGCTCAGGCTGTAGTAAGAAGGACGATAAGACAGGCAAAAAGAATGTACTGGAGGAAGTTTTGTGACTCCATTGGGAACACAACCCCAGTGGGAGAGGTATGGGGGATGATAAGAAAGATGAGAGGAGATAGAAGGGACTGGAGTTATCCTGTGTTAACAGAGGACAATGAAATAGCAGTAACGAATAAAGAAAAAGCTGAGATGTTGGCCAACACGTTTGTGAAGGTACATAGTTCAAGCAATTTGTCTAAAGAGGGAAAAAGGGGTAGGGAGAAAACAAAGTCTGAAAACATGGAGGCCTTAAGGAGAAAGGAAATAGATGATACCAGAGATGAGCAGAGTGTACCGTTTAATATGGGAGAGTTAAAAAGGGCACTGGATAAAGCTCGTATGACTGCGCCAGGGAAGGACGAGATATGTTACGTGATGATAAAGCACTTAAGTGAAGAATGTTTGGAAAAGTTGTTATTGTTGTATAACAAGGTGTGGGAGGAAGGTAAAATACCAGAGAGTTGGAAGGAGGCAGTCATTGTTCCCATAAGGAAACCAGGGAAAGATGCTAGTAAACCAACAAGTTACAGACCAATAGCATTAACATCTAATATCTGCAAACTCATGGAGAGAATGGTAAATGAAAGACTGATGTCTTTTTTAGAGAAACACGGTTTAATTGCAGGATGTCAAAGTGGATTTAGGAAAGGGAGGAGTACTTTGGATCCAATTGTGAGTTTAGAGGATGAAGTAAGGAAAGCACAAATCAATAAAGAAATAGTAGCAGCAGTGTTCTTTGATGTTGAAAAAGCATATGATATGTTATGGAAGGAGGGGCTTTTGATAAAGTTACATAAAATGGGAATTGGGAGCAGAGTTTTTAATTGGGTAATGGACTTTTTGAATAAGAGAACCATACAGGTGAAAATAGGGTCAGAAATCTCTAATAAGTATGAGATAGAAAATGGAACACCACAGGGGAGTGTGATTAGTCCTATATTATTCTCTATTATGATAAATGACATATTTGAAAATGTAACAGTAGATATGGGAAGATCATTATTTGCAGATGATGGGGCTATGTGGAAGAGAGGGAGAAATATAAACCATGTTGTAAGGAAGTTGCAGGAAGGAATAAATCAAGTTGAGAACTGGGGAAATAAATGGGCTTTTAAGTTTTCAGTTGAGAAAACAAAGGTTATGTTTTTCACCAGAAAGAGGATTCAAGGAAATACTATTTTGAAATTGTATGGTAATAATTTAGAAAGAGTTGAATCATTTAGATTCTTAGGAGTATATTTTGATACCAGACTAACATGGAGGGAACATATTAAAAATATTGCTGACAAATGTAAAAAAGTTATAAATGTAATGAGATGCCTTGTGGGTTTGGACTGGGGAGCAGATGTGGCATCCTTGAAATATATTTACGTTGCATTAATTAGATCAAGGATGGATTATGGAAGTGTAGTGTATGGTTCTGCTGCAAGAACTGCATTGGCAGTATTAGATGTGATCCAGGCTCGGGCTCTTAGGCTGTGTGTTGGGGCAACAAGAACATCACCTGTGTGTGCCTTGCAAGTTGAAGCAGGAGAAATGCCGCTGTCTTTACGTAGGAAGCAGCTAAGAGCTAATTACTGGATGAATTTAAGAGGACATGAACAAAATCACCCAACCAGAAAAGTGTTAGAACAATGTTGGGAAAGGGAGAGAGCAATGAATTTAAGTTTTGGATGGACAGGAGATGAAACAGCAAGAGACCTGGGGGTGTATGAAATGGAGTTCTGCCCGACAGTATTGTGGCCTACAACCCCTGTGTGGATGTTAGAGGGACTGACGGTGGATTTAGAGCTGCTTCAGGTTAAAGCAAGAAATAAAAATGTAGATTGTGTACATGAATTTTATAGATATACAGAAAGTAGTTATATGGGTTATGTTCAAGTATTTACAGATGGTTCCAAAAATCCATCAACAGGCAGCACTGGGGCTGCTGTTGCAGTTCCTAGTAGAAGAGTGGAAGTTGGTAAAAGAATGTCAAATGATTTAAGTGTGTATACAGTTGAACTGTTTGCTATTGTGATGGCGCTAGAGTGGATAGAGCAAGCCAGACCAAACCACGCGCTTATATGTAGTGACTCAGCATCTGCTTTGTGGAGTTTAAAGCGAGGTACTTCCACAAATCGACAAGATATATTGTATGAAATTTTGAAAATGCATTCAAGAATAATAGGACAAGGTATAGTAGTTAAATTTATTTGGGTTCCAGCACATATGGGCATTGTGGGTAATGAGAAAGTTGATCTTATAGCCAAGCAAGCAGTTAAAAAAGAAAATATAGATATCATGATCAAGTTATCAAAACTGGAAGGAAAGAACATTGTACGGAAGAAAACAAGTGAAAAATGGCAGCAGCACTGGGAACAGGAGGTGAGAGGGAGACACATATGCACTACAGAAGAGAGTGGGCGCTGGGAGACGCAGGGGAGGAAACAGGAGAGAGGAGACAGTGATGACAAGACTGAGAATTGGACATAGTAATCTGAATGGGACACTTCACATTGTCGGGAAACATGTAAATGGATTATGTGACTGTTGCCAGATATCAGAAACAGTGGAACATGTGATTACCAACTGCAACAAATACAGAGAGGAATGGAAGGAAATGCTGGAGGAGATGAGGGGAGAAGGACTCACAGGATCAAGCTTAAAGGACATACTGGCGTGTGGTGAGACTGGGAAAGGCAGAAAGTGTTTGATGTGTTTTTTTAAAAAGAACTGGACTGATATGGAAGATATGAGACACTGGATAATATAGGAGTCAAATAACTCCAGAAGAGGGCGGTAATGCAACGTTAAGGATGCAAGCTGCCGTTAAACCCCAGAGAAGAAGAAGAAGAAGAAGAAGCTTTTATTTTGAAGGACGGACAAGGACGGACATACCAACCGGAAGTACTATCATTCACTTCCTGGTCTTTACGCATATCCGAGCTGCTAGGATTTTGACCACTTTGTACGTCCTATATTTATATTTTGTAACCGCCAGGATGCAGATTTGCAGCGTGTGCAGCGAACATCCACCGAAATACAGATGTCCAGCCTGCAAAATAAGATAGTGAGTAACTTTAAAGAGAATAAATACTATATTAGCTTTAGCTGCCGAGAGCTAGCGGCAAAGCTGAACTACGACTCAGAGATAGTGCTGTAACTTACCTTGTGTTTGGTTACTTTAAAACATGGAAACCCTGACAAATAAAAATCCAAATGTGCTCATATGTACAGACAGTGCCATTATCCTAAAGTAATGTCCTAAAAGTTACACGTGTAAACAAATGTGGACATCAACACCACATGGGATTGCAGCCTATTAGGAGCATTAGCGCCACCTTCTGGTCCGGAGTGTGCATCACATATTAAATCTTATACATAAACCCTGTTCTTCCCATAATATAAAATATTAAAAACTGCACTCCACTTTACCAGTTCATTTATGATTTTATATTTGCATGGCGTCCATTGCCTTTCTTGTTCACACTGAATGGCTAAAACTAATTATTATTTTCAATATTGATTTATCTACCCATTATTTTCTTGATTGATCATCAGTAAAATGTCAGAAGACAGTGGAACACGCCCTGTGTTATTAATTACTGTGTTTTTTCCTCTCACAGTTGTTCACTCGGCTGTTACAAGAGGCATAAAGGTAAGTCTGATCTCAGTATTGTAATTAAGTCATAATGTGCTGTTTTGATGAGATATGATCATACGTTGATGACATATTAGACGGATCCACCATCTAATTCTTTATTTGTCCATAGACACTTGTCTTCCTGTTGAGCAGCCTGCACTGTCTGATCCTGAGACTAAGGAGCCTTTCAGCACTGGTATGTTAATATGTCTCTGAAGACTCCTGTGAGTCTGGTTCTTAATTAGCGTCAGTATCAGCCAGCATGAGCACTAATAATGTAACATAATGTAAAAGGTGGTGAAAGACTGGTGATACTTCACTCAGGAATGTCTGTGTGCTTCACTGTGTTTGCAGAAACGTGGACTGTTGATGATCTTCTGCATGAAGATGACATCACTGACAAAGTACCTCTGCAGAAGCTTCAGCTGCTAGGTATTAATGCAACTGTACCTTTCGTCTGCTCTTTAGGGATAGTTTGGATTTTTGAAGTGGGGTTCTATGAGGTTCTTATCCATAGTCAGTGTGTTACCTACAGTAGATGGTGGTCGGCACACCCCCAGTTTGGAGAAGCAGGCAGGAGTACTGACACAGAAGCTAAGCAATGTACTGCTGTGGACGGGGGCAGCAGCAAAACAAATTTTTCAGTATAAGGCCCTGTCTACGTGTATAAAGATATTTTTTAAAAAGGATATTTTCTTCTACTGTTTGGCTTCATGTCTTCACACACAAAGTGTTAAGTCACTTAAATTGAGATTTTTTTTTAAAACAACCTCAAAGTGCAGATGTTTCAAAACTCTGTTCACTTTGTATCTGTGCAGACGTGTAAAACGGAGTGTTTGGAAAATGATTACGTAATTTTCTCCATGTGCTCATGTCAATTTTTGCTTTGTGTAGTGAGTGAACGCCAGAAATGACAATGGTGGATTTCTGGTTTGTTTAAGTGTTGTCAGCCAGCTAGTGTTTTGGACGTGTAACTGCAGAGTGACACAGACACACTACCGCACAAGTATAAATGCTCACAACGGCGTAGGGTCAGCCGCACAACTACATATATCCCGCTTAAGTTTTTAAAAAAAGTCAAACGTGGATCCTTAATATTTTCCTATTTCCTCTACAGGTCAGTCAAAAGAGCTCAGAGATCTTCTCTGTAACCCCCACCTGAGACAGTTACTGCGCTCCGTTGACAGCGCGGACAGCAAAGCCGACGCGATGAAGGCCGCCATGCAGGAGCCTCTGTTTGTTGAATTTTCAGACCAGTGTTTGAAAACTGTAGAAAATGAAGCGTTAATATCCAGTGAAGCGGGTGATTTGTAAAATGGTGCCTGCATTAGTTTTCTATCAGATCTTTTTTTTTTAATATTTTTGTATGAAGTTTTGGAATAGGCATGTTGTGCAATTATTGTTGATCTAAGTTCCTGTCCCGTGCCTTGTCATGCTACAATATGTATATATATGTTCAAATAAATGCTGAAATGTTTTATATCAGCTCCTGAGTCAACGCTAAAGTTTTTACAGTCTAGTTAAAGAAGTCACTTGAGAAAAGGCTGATCATGCAAACAAAGTTTGAGTTGTAAGGAAAATGTTGTAACACTGACATTTATTTCAACAAAACATTTAAACAACATGTTTCAAGTTGTACATCGATCCCGTAGTATCCCTGACAGAACAGTATACAGATTTCAAATCAGTCATAATGACTCAATGACACATTTCAGTCAGTCTAAAGCTGGCAAATGTTAAATATTTAGCGAGCAAATGAAGATATGCAACAAATCAACAGAGCTGTCCCTGTGGGTAATGTGTTGTATCAAAAGCTAAAACAATAAACATCAGTGTTGAGTTACATTAATACATTTTTATGACATCACTTATTACAAAGATAATAAAATCCGATGGCTATAGTGTTTGTTCTCCCACAGAAAACACTAGTGTCAAAATACTTTGGTATGTTTTACAGTACTTGCTTAATGCTTTGGACTGCAGCAGATTAAATCCACACAGGAAGTGGTTTTTTAGAACGACCCTTTATCAAAACAAAAAGCAGCAATTTAAATAAACCTGGCTTCATCATTTCCCTGTTTCACATGAGTGTGTCTTCATGTGTCTGTTGCTGTGTGTGAGCAGGTGTGTGGTTTTAATGTGCAATATGTGCTTTACATGTGCAATACTTGCTTAATTTCTTTTTTTCCTCCGGCATAAATCACACTCAAAATTATGGAAGCCAGTTTCTGCAAATGTGTTGAAAAAAATCTTGTGAGTCATGATGAGAAACTTAGAATAATTATGATGTAGTATCTGAAAATAAGCAACTCTTTCATACAGCATACCAGAAGAAAATGTTGTCATTGTACATTTGTGGCATCGTATTATCCTCCAAACATGGGTTTTGTTTTTAGGGACTGTTACTGTATTTCCAGCTGCTTTTTCAGCCTTAAAATGCTGTTGTGGTTTTCAGTGAACCGAGGCTGGTTTTCCAGCGGTTTTTAGCCCCCAAATGTGGGGGTATCCTAGGGACCCCTAGCTGTTTTCCCAGCGGCTTTTTAACCCCTAAATGTGGGTTGTGTTTTTTGAGCCCCCCATTGCTGTTTTTTCAGCTGCTTTTCAGCCCCCAAATACAGATATTTTTTTGGTGACCCATAGCTAATTTTTTAGCAGTATTTTGCCCCCCAAACGTGGGGGTAGTTTAGGGACCCGTGGCTCTTTTTCCAGCAGCTTTTCAGTGCCCAACTGTGGGAATTGTGAACAAACTGGCTGTTTTTTGAGCGACATTTTACCTACCATCAGGCCTAAATCAAAATATTGAGAAAGTCTAAGACTAAGTCGAATTTTGAGATACTTTTTTTTCATCACATTGGCAGAAATGGGCTTCCATACTAAATAAATGGTGGATGTTGTTATAACATCTGCAATCGTATCTGCATCTGGCCCACTTGTTTTTACACCCGAAATAAGTCTATAAAATCACACATAAATAATCACCCTTAAATAAATACATATACTAACAGCCCATTTGTGATTTGAGTGTAGATTCAGAGAAAGGCACTCGTAGTTTGATCAACAGTCAGACATTCGAAAAAGGGAACAATAAAACAAAAACCTGCAGTCCTCTGTTTATGAAGGTGCTGAGGCTGTGCAGTGTCATTTCAGCTCTCCAGACAACACTAATTTTAAACATTTTTCCTTCTTGTTCTTGTCCTACAGTGACATCATTGTTTTCTACATGTCTATTCTCAGATGTGGCAGCTTAGTGGTCAGTGTTTCTGGACAGTCTACTGACTGAGATTTTAGATTAGAGATGATTTTTTTTTAGTTCATGGAACCTGAACACCACTAGAGATGATTTATGATGAGAAGGTCAGGTTCACATTGTAGTGCATTATTACAGAACTCCTCAAGGATCATGGTAAGATTTTTTTTTCCGTTCCCTCACATTACGTTTTGCATTCCCTTGCAACAGTTTATAAGGTGAAAACAGTGGCAGTTGGCAGCAAGGGGAAAGAAAAGGGAATGCAAAGAAATAATCTCACTATGACACTTGTATATCATGTTACCTGGCCTCCTCATAGGTTTAAATATTTTGCCAGGGTGCAGGTCTTTGCACCCTTGTATAACAGAACAAGGTTAACTTTGGCATTCTAAGTCGGACCTGAAAATAATCACTTCAAACACAAAATGGCAGCATAAAACACCAGGTTTGTTCCCTCTGTGTCAGATTATGGAAGAGCAGCTGCTTCACTGCAACACCTCGGTGCCAGATCAGTCTGTGTCCGTGAAATCAACATTTAGTGTTCTGCATAACTCTTACAAAGTCTTCTCTAGCAGGATGGCGTTGAACCCCGTCACGTCGCTCTTAATGCCTGGTTGCCTGTCAGCGTAGAGGAGTGGAGATCGCTGACAGTGCAGCTTTACAGATCCCTGAGTGGAAAAGAACACCTCAAATGACCGATCAAAAAAATCATCCACATGATTAAAAACCTGATGGTAGATTTAACAGCCCTCACCTTGGGTTGAGCCCGTATGGAGGCGAGCTCCTCCGAGTACTGGTTGGTCTTCACCTTGTACTCCCCTCTCCTGGAGGGCAGGTTGAGGGAGGCCATCACAGACACCATCTTCTGGAAGCCTGTGGCCGTCAGAGACATGGTGATGGACGGGGCTGAGGCCAGAGCCAGGCCCATGGGCCACCCTCGCACTGGAACAGGCTCTGGGATGGAGGAGAGCTGCACGGAGCCCCGCTCCCTGATGACGGGGTTCAATGGCGGCACTTCTTCCTCCGCTAGGTCCTTTGCATCATCCAGTTCTGCGTCAGCCACGGACTTCAACAGAGTCTGACAAGAAAACAGAACAGACTTTAAAATCCTTCTCCTAACTTGCAAAGCTCTAAATGATCTTGTTCCGTCATATCTTACAGAGCTCATTGTGCCCTATTATCCCACTAGAACACTGCGCTCTGAGAATGCAGGGTTACTCGTGGTTCCTGAAGTCTCCAAAAACAAGAACAGGAGCCAGAGCCTTCAGCTATCAGGCCAGGAACCATCTTCCTGTTTCAGTCCAGGAGGCAGGTATTCATGGTGTATATGGAGGGAAGCAGCTCTCTCGGGGTGTCACGGTGAAGACAGCAGGTGGCAAAGAGTGATGACAGTGTCAAGATGAGCTCAGAGCTACTGTTCAGAGTGCTAAACCAGAAGTAGCCAGCTCAGCCAGCGATAGTTTCTAGTGCGCTTGCTCTATGGGCTCAATGATGGAAGCAATGCCAATCATCTAGGTAATTTCATACCACGGAAATAGAGCTTTTTTGCTTCATATGCCACCGAGCAACTTTGATAGGAACAGGCCTTCAGCTGTATCCAAGTCTCTTTATGCATCCACATCTGAACCTCCCCGGCCAACTTTAGCTTATCAACGGTACTGTTGTGTGTACGTCTTTAATCCTGTTACCTTCTTGAGAGCAGGTGGCCTGTTACTGTGGAGAACCAATGAATTACAAGAAAAAGAAAGAGCTAGACAGAGTCACGACAGAAGATCATAGACTGTACTTGGTTTTTGGAGCCAGAAGTGACCATATTTGGGTGAGAGGGTGGAGCTACGGAGGAGCGGCTCTGACTGAAGCTGAGGACATTGTCATCAGACAGCCTGTCACTGAAAGCGGCCTGCCCTTAATTATGCGTAACTTTAAGCCTCAAATGTAAACAGGTTTATCAGTTTATCAGTTCTGAGTCGCATGTCTTTAATTGGTTTATTCTTAATCTTCAATATTATTTCATGAGGTTTTGTTCTTAGTTTTAATGGATTTGAGTCACTTTTATGGTCGGTTGCTGGCTTTGTTTCGTGCCTGTAACTTCTACCTCGTACTGAAATGTGCTGCATAAATAAAGTTTTGCACTGGAAGGCACTCGTGCATTGGCTCTGGAGGCTGCGTCCACCTCTTTTATACAGTCTTTGGCAAAAAAAAACATGTATTCTTTCCAAATCTCACCTTCCACTTCCTCCAGGTGTTCTGGATGGTTGAAGCTGCTGTGTTCCACTTGTGCACCTGCCTCCTGACCCGCCAGGACCGCACCGCTGCAGGAGGCATAAAAACACATTCAACATCTGACCAAGCCATTCATCCTGCAAGTTTAATCTGTGTGTATGGTGGATAGGAAGTGTTTACGTTGTCCCATTCAGAACAACAGTTAATCAGGTATGTGCTCGGCAGAGATCAACAGTGTCAGTCTACAAACATTGTGTTCAGACTCCACCAGCTGGTTCCTGTTGGCCAGACACTTAGGTCAAAGCCACGGAGCTCAGCACTACCTGGCCAGGGCATTAAGAGTTTACCTGCTTGGATCAGGGTGGCAGACTGCTGGCGGGCGTGGCGTCTGCGGCGCTGGCGCCTCCGCCAGCAGCACTGGATGGAGAAGGCACACTGAGACAGGATCTTCTTCCTCTGATCCTCCAGTAAATCTAGCTGTGAGACAACAGACAGGAAGGTCAGCACCCCTGAGAAGACCAGGTTTGCTTCACAGGCCTGAGAAGTAACTGAAACATGTGTGAGGATGTGTGTGTGCATAAATGACTGACCATCGACTGGGTGAGAAAAACTTTGGTCCTCCCACAGTGCACCCATGAATTGCGTTTGTCACTGTCGAGGTTGTGCAAGGTGTCAAACGCCTTCTGCTGCAACATGACGCTGAGGAGCTTCTCCACCTCTTGCCGAAGAACATCATTGCTGTCAGACTCCACAGCTACAACAGAGAGGAGTTATAGTGAGGCACTTGAGAGACAATTCAAGTTAGGGCAGAACCGCAGAGATTTACTTTACTCATTTTTTGGCAGTCAGTGAGGTGAAAACTGTTCAGTGGGTGAAGCGTGAGAGCACAGAGAAATCCATCAGAATCAACAGCACAGTTTGTTCAGACACTGATGATATTCAGCGGCAGGTTCCTCAAACATTCATGCAACAAGAGACATGCTAGTGGCTTTATGAGGCTAAATGCTAACAACAAC